CCAAAGCAACGGAATACACATTCTTCTCTAGTGCCCATGGAACATTCTCTAGAATTGATCACATCCTAGGTCACAAATCAGGTCTCAACCAGTACCAAAAGATTGGGATTATTCCCTGCATATTTTCAGACCACAATGCTTTGAAACTACAACTCAATCACAAGAGGAAAGTCAGAAAGAACTCAAATACATGGAGGCTAAAGAGGATTCTACTAAAGAATGAATGGGTCAACCAGGAAATTGAAGAATTAAAAAAATTCATGGAAACCAATGAAAATGAAAACAACGGTTCAAAATCTTTGGGATACAGCAAAGGCAGTCCTAAGAGGAAAGTATATAGCAATACAAGCCTTTCTCAAGAAACAAGAAAGGTCTCAAATACACAACCTAAACCTATACCTAAAAGAGCTAGAGAAAGAACAGCAAATAAAGCCTAAACCCAGCAGGAGAAGAGAAATAATAAAGATCAGAGCAGAAATCAATGAAATAGAAACCAAAAGAACAGTAGAACAGATCCACGAAACTAGGAGCTGGTTCTTTGAAAGAATTAACAAGATTGATAAACCCCTGGCCAGACTTATCAAAAAGAAAAGAGAAATGACCCAAATCAACAAAATCATGAATGAAAGAGGAGAGATCACAACCAACACCAAAGAAATACAAACAATTGTAAGAACATATTATGAGCAACTCTATTCCAGCAAATTAGATAATCTGGAAGAAATGGGTGCATTCCTAGAGATGTATCAACTACCAAAACTGAACCAGGAAGAAATAGAAAACCTGAACAGACCTATAACCACTAAGGAAATTGACGCAGTCATCAAAAATCTCCCAACAAACAAAAGCCCAGGGCCAGATGGCTTCCCAGGGGAATTCTATCAGACATTTCAAGAAGAATTAATACCTATTCTCCTGAAACTGTTCCAAAAATTAGAAATGGAAGGAAAACTTCCAAACTCATTTTATGAGGCCACCATTACCTTGATCACAAAACCAAAGACCCCATCAAAAAGAAGAACTACAGAGCAATATCCTTGATGAACATGGATGCCAAAATTCTCACCAAAATACTAGCCAATAGGGTCCAACAGTACATCAAAAGGATTATTTGCCATGACCAAGTGGGATTTATCCCTGGGCTGCAAGGCTGGTTCAACATCCGCAAATCAATCAACGTGATACAATACATTAACAAAAGAAAGAACAAGAATCATATGATCCTCTCAATAGATGCAGAAAAAGCATTTGACAAAGTACAGCATCCTTTCTTGATCAAAACTCTTCAGAGTATAGGGATAGAGGGTACATACCTCAATATCATAAAAGCCATCTATGAAAAACCTACAGCGAATATCATTCTCAATGGGGAAAAGCTGAGAGCTTTTCCCCTAAGGTCAGGAACGCGGCAGGGATGTCCACTCTCACCACTGCTATTCAACATAGTATTAGAAGTCCTAGCCACAGCAATCAGACAATAAAAAGAAATAAAAGGCATCCAAATCAGCAAAGAGGAAGTCAAACTCTCACTCTTTGCAGATGATACGATACTGTATGTGGAAAACCCAAAAGACTCCACCCCAAAACTGCTAGAACTCATACAGGAATTCAGTCAAGTGGCAGGACATAAAATCAATGCACAGAAATCAGTGGCATTCCTATACACCAACAACAAGACTGAAGAGAGACAAATCAAGGAGTCGATCCCATTTACAATTGCACCCAAAACCATAAGATACCTAGGAATAAATTTAACCAAAGAGGCAAAGGATTTGTACTCAGAAAACTATAAAAATACTCATGAAAGAAATTGAAGAAGACACAAAGAAATGGAAAAACGTTCCATGCTCATGGATTGGAAGAACAAACATTGTGAAGATGTCAATGCTACCTAGAGCAATCTACACATTCAATGCAATCCCCATCAAAATACCATCCACTTTTTTCAAAGAAATGGAACAAATAATCCTAAAATTTGTATGGAACCAGAAGAGACCCCGAATAGCCAGCGGAATCTTGAAAAAGAAAAGCAAAGCTGGCGACATCACAATTCCAGACTTCCAGCTCTATTACAAAGCTGTCATCATCAAGACAGTATGGTACTGGCACAAAAACAGACACATAGATCAATGGAACAGAATCGAGAGCCCAGAAATGGACCCTCAACTCTATGGTCAACTCATCTTTGACAAAGCAGGAAAGAATGTCCAATGGCAAAAAGACAGTCTCTTCAACAAATGGTGTTGGGAAAATTGGACAGCCACATGCAGAAGAATGAACCTGGACCATTTCCTTACACCACACACAAAAATAGACTCCAAATGGTTGAAAGACCTCAATGTGAGACAGGAGTCCATCAAAATCCTAAAGGAGAACACAGGCAGCAACCTCTTCGACCTCAGCCGCAGCAACTTCTTCCTAGAAACATCGCCAAAAGCAAGGGAAGCAAGGGCTAAAATGAACTATTGGGATTTCATCAAGATAAAAAGCTTTTGCACAGCAAAAGAACCAGTCCACAAAACCAAAAGACAACCGACAGAATGGGAGAAAATATTTGCAAATGACGTATCAGATAAAGGGCTAGTATCCAAAATCTCTAAAGAACTTATCAAACTCAACACCCAAAGAACAAATAATCCAATCAAGAAATGGGCAGAAGACATGAACAGACATTTTTCCAAAGAAGACATCCAAATGGCCAACAGGCACATGAAAAAGTGCTCAACATCGCTCGGCATCAGGGAAATCCAAATCAAAACCTCCATGAGATACCACCTCACACCAGTCAGAATAGCTAAAATTAACAAGTCAGGAAACAACAGATGCTGGCGGGGATGTGGAGAAAGGGGAACCCTCCTACACTGTTGGTGGGAATGCAAGCTGGCACAGCCACTCTGGAAAGCAGTATGGAGGTTCCTCAAACAGTTGAAAATAGAGCTACCATACGATCCAGCAATTGCACTACTGGGTATTTACCACAATGATACAAATGTAGGGATCCGAAGGGGTACATGCACCCCAATGTTTATAGCAGCAGTGTCCACAATAGCCAAACTGTGGAAAGAGCCAAGATATCCTTCGACAGATGAATGGATAAAGAAGAAGTGGTATATACACACAATGGAATATTATGCAGCCATCAAAAGGAATGGGATCTTGCCATTTGGAACGACATGGATGGAACTGGAGGTTGTTATGCTGAGTGAAATAAGTCAATCAGAGAAAGACATGTATCATATGACCTCACTGATATGAGGAATTCTTAATCTCAGGAAACAAACTGAGTGTTGCTGAGTGGTGGGGGGTGGGAGGGATGGGGTGGCTGGGTGATAGACATCGGGGAGGGTATGTGCTATGGTGAGCGCTGTGAATTGTGCAAGACTGTTGAATCACAGATCTGTACTTCTGAAACAAATAATGCAAGATATGTTAAGAAAAAAGAAAAAGAAGTAGATAGCAGGAGGGGAAGAATGAAGGGGAGTAAGTCGGAGGGGGAGAAGAACCATGAGAGACGATGTACTCTGGAAAACAAACTGAGGGTTCTAGAGGGGAGGGGCATGGGGGGATGGGTTATCCTGGTGATGGGTATTGAGGAGGGCACGTTCTGCATGGAGCACTGGGTGTTATGCACAAACAATGAATCATGGAACACTACATCAAGAACTAATGATGTAATGTATGGTGATTAATACATAACAATAAAAACATTTAAAAAAAAATAAAGTTTATAAGTACCATGGAAGCAAATACTTAAAGAAACAGTCTTTTTTCAATTCTGTTGTACTATACCATGTATTTACCTCTTAACTTTGATTAGAATAGTTCATTAACAGGTTACAAAGTTCAAAAGGTACAAAACACTAGAATAAAAATTGGCCACCTCTGACTTCCTCTCCTGGAGATAAATAATATCACCAATGATAGGGTGGGTGTGCCCTAAAACATCCAGATGTATATACTTCCAAAGAGGCATGCTGCACATGCAAACAAATATGTTTGTTTGTTATGACTTTGTTACATTAACATGTTATGTGGAGCACAGGGTGCTGGATGGTCAATCACACACAGCTCAACACCAAGCCATAAGAGAAATTGAAATAGGAAAGTTTAGTATTCACAGGTTCTGGAGGAAGTACAAGGCATGCCTCAAGAAGTCATATGGGCGGGTCAAGGCAGGATGCAGACAGAGCCATAGAACCTGGGGCACATTTCTTTTTTAAGGTCCATTAGTGCAGTGATTTGGGGTTCCCAGGCTAAGTCCACATTGGGCAATCCAAACCAAAAGAGTGTTTTTTTGGTGATCTCCACAGCGGTCTTATCTAAGGGGCACACAAGGGGTTGACCCTGGGAGGTGGGGAGACTGTTGATCATGCAGGTTACAAGGAAGTCATATCAGGACTCCACGAATTGCTTGAGACTCTATGGGCTTATGTCTAGGGCATGGGCTTGCATGAGGGACTACTGTCAGTTTAAGGTCCCTGCAGGATGCTTGGCCAAACAAAATGGATGCTGAGGCAGCAACACCATGGAGTGTAGCTGACCTGAACTCTTGACAGTGTTCTTCCCTTTTGCATGAATGGTAACATACATGAGATACTGTCCTGTGTCTTGCTTTATTGACTTAAAAAATCATGGTCATTATTCCATATCATTATTCCATTATCAATCTACAAAGCCTTCTTTGCTTCTTTTGCACAGTATTCCATAGATACATCGTAATTTATGTAAGCAATCCCATATTGTTGAACAGTTAGATTGTGTCAGTCTTTTGCTAATAAGATTTATGCACTAGTGAACAAACTGGTATATACATTATTTCTCACAAGTGAAGTATATTTGTAGGATAAACTTACAGATGTAGCATTGTTTGGTCATTTTATACTTAGATAAATATTTCCAGAATGTTTTCCATAAAGATTGTTAACAGTTTACACTTCCAAGAGCAGCATGTACTTGTTTTCCCAACATTAATCCTGAGGACTAAATGTGTTTTGTTTTAGGTTATAAGCCCCAAGACTTCAAAGGTACTGCAAAAATCACCCTCTTCGAGAAGAATGGTAAGAAAACAAATAATTTCCTTTCCTCTCTTATTAACTCCCTACATGGTATTCTCTGGCTGTATCTATCATGCCTATGTACAATTTTGGTCATGATCTATCCTTCATACTGGACACATTTCATGTGGCATATGAAGGAATAGTATAGGGAGAGAGTCAACTAACTGATGACTCAAAATGTATGGTTAGGCAGCCTGTACACAAGTGTGAATACTGTAGGAATTTATAGGGAAAATGTGATTGTTACGATCACAGGTTCAGTAATAGCATCAGGAAGGTAGAATTTCTCTTACACAGGTTTCTGGGGTGGGGGTGGGGGGAGGTGGCACTGGAAGAGGAAGGGCATGAAATACCCAGAACAGTGTTTTAGGAGTTTAGTCTTGGCTCCAATGACCCGACACCCTGTAGCCTCCCCCCAAGGTCCATCACCCTCAACATCCTGGCATGCTCTCCTGGTTCTTACTGGTAATAGTATAAAAGTACCATAATAACTGACCCTATTTTAAAATATTTTCTCTTAGTTTCCTACCACAAACTAGGTAGGTTAAAATATTAGAAATTTATTCTCTCACAGTTCTGCAGGCTAAAAGTCTGAAGTCAAGGAATCTGCTTAGTTCGTTCCTTCTGAAGGCTGTGAGACAAGGATCTGTTCTTGACATCATTCCTAGCTTTTGGTGGTGCCACCAATTCTTGATATTCCTTAGCTTGTAGATACATCACTTCAATCTCTGCCTCCATCTTTACACACTGAGTGTGTGTGTCTGTGTCTCTTTTATAAGAACAGTAGTAGCCATATTGGATATACATCCACCGTATTCCATTGCAACCTCATCTGAGCTAATTAATTACAACTGCAATGACCCTATTTCCAAATAAGGTTATATTCTCAGCTACTGGGGGTTATGCTTCAAATATCTTTTGGGGGGGGGACACAGTTCAACCCATAATATATTCCTTTTAGGGTATATATTGAGTCACTTTAACTTAAACCTTCTATATCAACCATGCCATCCTTTGAGAATGTTCCAATTTAAAATGATTACCTGAGGAGTTAGCCAGATCCTCAGATAGAAATTTATTTCTATTCATATCTAGATAATGAATTTTAAAAATATTCAAAATTTGGAAACAAAAGGAATTTTCCAGTCAATCCTGACAAAACAGAAATTTCTGTTAGACCATGCCATTCATTATGATTATTTCACTTAACAGGAGCTCCATGGTAGGTCTGCAGGCCAGTCTTGTCATATGAAAGCAGAGATACTGAACAGTCCATACACTGCTCATCAGAGTATTATCACATACTTTGAGGGATCAAGTTTTAAGTGCTCACTTGGAATTCAACTTGGGCCCCCAATCATTGTTATTAACTAAAGAAAAACGATATTTAAAAAGCTGTATTTTCTAATTGATTCTCAAATTTTCCAGAAGGTTGATCTTAAAATATACTGAAATACAGAATTCTGCTTAAAGTAAGCTTATTTAGGGCACAGTTCAAGGAAATGAACTGATAGAAACATGAGATTTTGTCATAACCTAGTGTTACTTCTCTCATTTTAAGGCATTATAGCAAGGCCTTAAGTGTGTAACAAGAGTAAAATCCCAGGTTAAGTTTAGTGAATCTCCTGTTAAAAAGAAAGCAGTGTTTCATTCTGGTTAAATACTGATCACATTCACATGTTTTCCTAATTCACACTGCCACTGATTTTCATCTCTCTTAAATGCAGTCATTAAAATGGTATTCATCCTAGTTTGACAGAATGTACTAAATTTTTCCTCGTTGGCAGTCTGACGTGCCGGAAGGAGTCATAAGGGTCCATGCTCCACTTCTCTCTAAGGTGTCCATGGCCATTCAGCTCACTAGTCACACCAAGGCCAAAGACATACTGGCAAAATTTCAATATGAGAACAGGTGAGTAAAAGTGAATATAGGTTTCTGTACAAGAAAGGTGACGTTTTATCAGATGAGTGACTTTCCAGGCATTTACAAACTTGACCTTTTTGGAAAATTAGAACCTGTTACTTTGGGTACTTTACCAATAGAGTAAGTCAAAAGTAGAGAAAAAGATTAAGTAGACCATAGAATTATTGATAACAGAAGTTTTTGTTTTTGTTTTTTTAAGGAATTTCTACAAATGGGATTCTTAATAGATATCTTCTATCTTGGTGGTTTCATTTACTACATGAGTTTTACCTTTTATTAGAATAAAAAATATAGCAAGTTAGTTTTAGAGCTACCTGGAATACCATTCCAGGCTTCATTGAGTTTCAACATGCCTAGATCAGATAAAGTTTATATAGTAAATGGACATCATAGCCGTTGTTTTCCTTAAAACATACTACTAATAAATCTTGGGATCAGAATTTTATTTACAAAAAAATCCTTTTGCTCATCTCCCATAAGTCACCTTGAAGCAGCATTAATCAGGGTAATTTTTCTCTAGGCATGCTTATTCGAGGATAAACATTTGCCCTAAGGTTTTTAAAAGATGAGAAGCATGAGAGGCACTAGTTTAAATCCATCCATTAGAGAGGAGGTACAGCCTGATGGTCTCTAGTAAAACTTATGGATATTCTTTTTGTTGTTGTTGTTAGAAAAGAGAGTGAGAGCAAGCGGGGGGGTTGGGAAGGGCAGAGGGAGAGGCAGAGAATCTTAAGCAGACTCTGTGCTGAGCACAGAGCCCAACGTGGGGCTTGATCTCACAACCCTGAGATCATAACCTGAGCTAAAATCAGGAGTTGGACACTTAACTGAGCCACCCAGGTGCCCCAAAACTGATGGAAATTTCTAAAGAGAAGCTTTCCAAACATGTTAAGAAGGAGTACTCATGTTGGGGGGGGGAGCCAATTGCGGAAGATTACATACCATAAGACTCCATTTATACAACATTTTGAAGTGACAAAATTTTAGAAATGCGGGGTAGGTTAGTAGTTGCTGGGAGTTGGGGAGAGGAGATCATGGGAGGGAAATGGGTATGGTCATAAAAGGGCAACACAAGGATCTGACAGTGTTGGAGTTACTCAGTATCTTGACTCTGGTGGTAACTGTATTGAACTTAACACACATACACACAAATGAGTACAAGTAAAGTGGGAAATTTGAATAGGATAGGTGGATCATAGCAATGTCAGTATGCTGGGACTTTATACTGTATTTGTATAAAATGTTACCATTTGGGGAGAAGTGGGCAAAGAGTATGAGGAATTTTTCTGTATTATTTCTTAAAACTACGTATGAATCTACCACTATCTCAATGAAAATATTTCAATTTAAAAAAACAAGAGTAGCCAATAAAAGTAATCTATGGTGTTAGAAGCCAGAACAGTGGCTTTCTGTGAGGGTGGAAGGGTTGGTGACTAAGAAGCCTTGACAGTGGCTTTGGAGACGTTCCTGTTTTAGATTATGCGGGCTGGTTACGTGGTATGTTCGCTTTGTGAAAATTCTTCAAGTATTCTTATGATGTGTGCATGTTTTGTATGTTCTCTCTCTCTCCATATACATATGCATATATATGTATGTGTATATATAAGCATACATAAAAAAGAAAAGAAGAGTAAACAGTCCAGCAGGAGCCCGGAAAACGTACTTCTCTCTGTTGCTAGAACACTGTAAGTAGTAATTGCTAGGCAGTAATAGAAAGACTTGAAATTCCACTCGGATGTGAACATCCAATAGATGGCAGGTCACATGCGTGACAAAACTGCCCCTGGATTCTCATGTAGACCTTTTGTAGAATGAAAATGTTCTAATAAAAATAAATTAGAATCAGTGACTATAGATAGATGCAAATCCTTTGTATGAACTTCAAAAGATGTTGTTCAGTCCATTTTCTTCACTCGTTAGAACTGTGGCCAATTTCAGTTTAGTTGTAAACTGGCTCATTTTTGCCTGTTTCACTAGAGGCTTATTTTCTGACTACTAACCACCTCTTCTGTTTAAGTAAAAAAAAAGGGGGAGAGAGAAGTCCCATTCCTCCCAGGTCCTCCCTCTTCTGACTAAAAACCCTTGGACATAACACAATGACAAGCATAGGAAGACTCTGAAAGGTAAAGAGCCAAGTGCGGACTGCCTAGGAACATCGGGCCTGTGAAACGACATGGTGGTGAATGCCTGGATTTCCTTATTGCCTCCCATATGTCCAGGCAGGGTGCTGTTAGGAACCTTCAGCCTGGCACAGGCACACACAATAATGAGCTCCAAGAAGAAGATCCTGTTCCCGCAGCCAAAGGACTGGAGAGAAGGTGGCCTAACCACAAAAAACCATTTTGGCAATACCTGCCCTACTCCAACCAAACACCAACAGAAAAAGCACACCACTACACCTGTATTTTCAGTGGGACCAAGCAGGCAACTGATGTATATGCCCCACCCGACAGAATCAGGTGGCAATCCAGTTCCCAACCACAACAGTGTTAGCAGGGTCCTGCCTCTAGCTGAGTCTCCTCCACCCAGCAGCAATGAGACCTGACAAATCAGTGCAAAGCAGACAGTTATTGACCAGCTTCACCGCCCCCCCCCCCCCCCCCCCCCCCCCCGGAAGGTCCATTGAAGAGCTGAGCTTTACCCTCACCCAACAGCAACAAAGCAGCAAGAGTCTATCTTCTGTTGCCTCTCCCTGGGGCCAGCAGAGCCCAGCAGGGGCTGATCTTACACCCTCAATCAGAGGCAGCAAAGCAGTGCCAGTTGGTGTCCCACTTTCACTGGGCAGGTGTCAGTGGGGCTCAGCAAAAAGCTGAATATACACACCCACCCAGCCCTTGTGCTAAACTTCAACAGGAGCAATGGCTGCCAAAAAATGATGATTAAATAAGATCCAGAGTCTCATAATATCCAGTGTCTGCAGTATGATACAAAATCATTCATTATACCTAAAACCAGGAAAATCACAACAGGAATGAGAAAAGACAATTGAGAAATGCCAGCGCTAAATTGAATCAGATGTTAGAATTATCTGACAAGGATTTTACAGCAGCCATCACACACATGCTTCAACAAGCAGTTATGAATTCTCTTGAAACGAAAAAATAGAAAATCTCAGCAAACAAATAGAAGTTATAAAAAAGAATGAAATGAAAATTATGGAACTGAAAGAATAACTGAAATAAACTCACTAAATGGGCTCAATAGCAGAATGGAGATGACAGAGGATATAATCAGTAAATTTGAGGAATATCAGGAGCATTATTCTGAACAACAGAAAGAAGACAGACCCAAAAAAGTGAATATAGCCTCAGGGATCCATGGACTGTAACAAGAGAGCTAACATTTGCATCATTGCAGTACCAAAAATATAGAAAACAGAGAGGAACTGAAAAAATATTTGAATAAATAATGACTGAAAACTTTCCAAATTAGCAAAAGGTATAAACCTACATATTTAAGAAACTAAGTGAACCCAACCAGGACAAACCAAAGAAATCCCTTCCAAAACAACGTAATTAAACTTGTAAAAATTAAAGACAAAAAAACAAACCTTGAAAGCATCCAGAGCAAAGTAATGCCTTTCTTACAGGGAACACCAATTCTGATTATAGCAGATTTCTCATTTCTCATTTGAAACCCTGGAGGCGGGGCGCCTGGGTGGCTCAGTCGTTAAGCGTCTGCCTTCGGCTCAGGTCATGATCCCAGGGTCCTGGGCTCCCTGCTCAGCTGGAGGCCTGCCTCTCCCTCTCCCACTCCCCCTGCTTGTGTTTCCTCTCTTGCTGTCTCTCTCTCTGTCAAATAAATAAAAACTTAAAAATCTTTAAAAAAAAAAAAAAAGAAAAAGAAACCCTGGAAGCCAGATGGAAGTGGCATAACATCTTTCCAAGTACTGAAAGAAAGGAACTGTCAACCTTGAATTCTATGTCCTGCAAAAAATATATCTTTCCAGAATGAAGGGGAAACAAAGACATTCTTCGGTGAGACAAAACTAAGGAATTTTGTTGCTAGCAAATTTACCCATAAAGAATGAATAAAGGAAGTTCTCTAAATAGAAAGAAAATGATAAAGGCTTGAAACATCAGAAAGGAAAGGAGAACATCAGAATGGGGAAAAAATAGTAGTAACTGTAATAGATTATCCTCCTCCTTATGCTTTTTTTTTTAAAGATTTTATTTATTTGACAGAGACACAGCGAGAGAGGGAACACAAGCAGGGGGAGGGGGAGAGGGAGAAGCAGGCTTCCCGTGAACACAAGCAGGGAGCCCGATGCGGGGCTTAACAACTGAGCCACCCAGGCGCCCCCCTTATGCATTTCTTAAATCATATTTGATGGTTGGTGAAGCAAAAATTGCACCTCTGGATATGGTGCTCAGTGTATGTTGAGGACACATTTAAGACAACTTACTTTCTTCCTTCCTTTCTTTTAAAAGATGTATTTATTTTAGAGAGAGAGAGTGGGGGAGGGGGTTAGGAACAGGAGAGGGAGAATGAGAATCTCAGAGTCCCTGCTGAGAGAGGAGCGGAAAGCAGGGCTCCATCCCACGACCCCAAGAACATGATGTGAGCTGAAATCAAGAGTTGGATGCTCAACCTCCTGAGCTACCCAAGTGCCCCAAGACAATTATATTTTGAAAGGGTTGAGGCTCAGCCCTCCTTATTGTCTGCATAGTGACTTCTCTCCAAAGAGTGGAGTATGTAAAGGGGGAAAAAGAATAACTTCATAGTCATGAAATCTGACCTCAGCGGTTGACTAACATCAACAGTGATAAAGTCACACTGATAATGTGTAGCCCTGATAAAAAATGACGAAAATGGCACTTCTGTCGCTTTCCTCCCAAGAACACATAACTCTTGCCAAACGTGAGAAAAAATCAGGCAAATCCCAGTTTGGAAATATTCTACAAAATACTTGATGAGTCCTCCTCAAAACTGTCAAAGACATCAGGAACAAGGCAAGTGTAAGCAACGGTCACAGTCAAGAGGAAGGG